TAACTACTTTCTTGCTGGGCAGCTTGGACAGCCTGCCATACTAATTGCACAGCCTGCTTCACGGTCACCTCAGGCATTCATGGTAAAAGTTTTCAGAGAGCTCCTTGTTTAAAATCCAGCTACAAAACAATGTCTTATGTGCTCTTCCTTACTGGCACTGAAGTCACAGGACTTTCAAATTTTCAAACATAACGAGTGATTTTATGAGCCTCAGTTTTTGAGTGGCCATCTTGCGGCACCTTAAAGGAGCCTAATTTTCAGAAAGGGCCAAGTACTTGCCCTTTGAAAGCTAGGGCCTCAAAAGGTGTCTTGGGCACCCCAAAATCACTGGTCATTTCATGAAATTTAGGCCATTGTGCACTTTTTTTTTCTTTTCATAGAGGTCCTTATCAAGGCTTCAGTGTTTTCTCCAGGCCTCTGCACACTTTGGTAAAGCCCAATAATGTATTACATTCCAGTTTGGAATGAAACCCTCAACAAATGTTTTAGCAATGTTGTCATAGTTATTCTTATCTCCTTCTTCAGCAAAGGCAAATGATTTATAAACATTTTCAGTTTCACTCCCCATTGCATAGATTAACAAGCTGACCGATACTTCACTGCTCTGTGTGATAAGCTTCACTGTGGTTCGGGACCAGGAGAAGCATTCCTTCCATGTAGGTATTATCAAACTGAAAGGCTGGTGGAGCATTAAATTTGAGCAATTTCTTTTCCTCTCATTGATGCTGGTTCAACACAAGCTGGTTTCTGGCACAGTGTCACTTAAGGGTAAAGAATCCCAGAAAAAGCTATTTTCTGCTCTCATAACCAGCAGCACTACCAACGCTCCTGATTTGGCCATGAGCCTGGCAAGATTTGAGTTGGATTTCAATTTTTTTTAAAAGCCTCGTGTGATCTCAGGTTCCAGTCTTCAAAACCTGCGAAATTTTCCTAACTCAAAATGGCAACCATCTCCCACTACTTTCAATGGGGCTGAAGCCAAACTGCATTCAGGCAAGATGGCTATAGTTTCCCTACAGGCTTTGCATGTGGAGGGGAGACTGCCCCTAGTAATGACAACTGCTACCTCCCACTGATTTCAATGAGACTGAAGCCAGGCAGATTCAGGGATGATCCCCCTCCCCCGGGGTCTGTGGTTAATGAGCTGGACTGGCCAGGAAACTATGATGAGACCAGAGAATGTAGGGTGCAGGGGAATGTGTGGGTTCAGGGAGAAATTGAGGATCATGCAGAGGAATGTGGGATCAGGAGAGAATCTGAGAGACTGAGCAGTATGCACAGGAATTTGGGGTGCTCAAAGCCTTTTTGGGGTAAGGAGCAGAGGGAAAATGTGAGGGATAGGATTTTGTAAAGGGAAAGAGTCAGTCATAGCGATGAAGGCCAGAAAGGACCAGCATATCATCCAGTCTGACATCCTGTATATTACAGGCCACTGACACTAACCAACTCCCATACCAAGCCCAGCAACCAGAATTGGACCAAAGTATTTCAGCCTGCAGGAGACTCAACAGTTGTGTGCCATTGGGGGGAGTGGGGGCAGAGAACAGGAGGGGCTGAGATGCACCAATGGCTGAGGCTTCTGCAATGGCAGGCCACTGATTAGATGGGATATGCCCAGCTGATGCTAACAAGTGACCCCATACCCCATGCTATAGAGAAAGGTGAAAAAATCCCAGGGGGAAATTCCTTCCCAACTCCAAATATGGCAATCAGACCCTGAGCATGTGAGCGAGACACACCAGACAAGCACCTGAGAAAGGGAATTCTCAGTATCACCTCAGAGCACCAGCCCACCCTATCCAGTGTCCCAGCTCCAGTCATTGCCAAATCTGACACTTCCGCGGAAGGAGACAAAAAAAACAAAGAAATGCCACAGGATACATCAAGGGAATAACATCCCCCTTCCTGTAGGGGTAGGTGAATGTAACTGGGGGAGGAGAGGGATAAGAGTCTGTATAGGAGCGTGGAGTGGGAATATGACTTGAAAGAAGATCGAGGGAGGAAGATGGGATGGTGAAGGAAAGAGGATAGTGCTAAGTGAGGAAAATGGAAAGGGATAAAATGGCAACTCCCCCACTCCAGAGATTAGGAGAGGGCAAAGGATGTCCCCTTCTGAGCCTCCAATGGGGAACTCCATATTTTTGCAAGGGTGTTTCAGGTAACAAATTTGACCCTGAAATATTCATGTACACTTTGGGGGTATGAAGCTCCCTCCTAAAGACTCAAAAACCAGCAGACACATAAAAACAACCCCCCCAAATGCGTTATTTTTAAAAATCTCATGATGATCAAGATAATCTCATCATTCTGGCAACTTGATTTATAATTTTTTAACGACTGGCATTGGCAGTACTGCACTGAACAAGGAACTTGAGACCAATAGCATTACCTCTAAAGCCTCTCTCTCTCTGTGTGTGTTAGAGCTTTTGCCAAGAATCTTTCCCAGTTCCTCTTATCTCACTTCATGCTACCATTATAAAGAAACAATACCCACATCTCACACGTGGCCACCCCTGTACATGTGCAATGGTAGGAGGGTAAACTGAACTACCAGTGCTGCTTGGGCTGGACTCATGGAATTCAACAGCCTAGAATCACAGTTACAAGATCTCTGTGCATAGAATCCTACTGGAATTCAATGGGAATTCTATGTGCAGAGCACATGGGGGATCAGGCCTATTAAGAGGGCCCAGGATTACAAAGCCTTCACTATTTGACTGCTGCCATGATCCAGTTTGGTGGCCAAATGGGAGCAGTGGGAGAGGCAGCAGCATGCATCTACAGCAGCCTGGGGGTTAAGTTCAACCTAATGAAGACAGCATTCAAAGATTATCTCCACTGTTACTCACAACACCATCTGGCACAGATGCACATGTGGGAGATTAAACATGTAAAAGATGGCAACAACAACAACAAACATTTCCATAATAGTTTTTTTTTTTTGAAGGAAAATATGTTGACCATCTAATTTGGATTCATAAAGAAACCTATTAATCTGAGGCTTCAAAGAGTTGTCTCGGAACTTTTAATCAGGAGTTGCATTTTACTGTGGAAAGGAGCGGAGGGGAGTGAAAAAAATAAAACAAAACAACTGTCTATTTGAAAGCAGTCTGGGTGAGGGAACTCAGCAGGGAGCCTCTTCTCACCCACCTGGAGAAGAGGCTCCCTGAATGCTTGTTTTCATTAGCATGGGCCTCTCTGGCTCTTCAAAACTCTTTCCACTAGTTGCCAAGGCAACCTAGAGCCGTAATACAGCACATGGGTGATGCACATCAACTGGCGTATTGCACTTTATTGAAATAAATAAGCAAATAAACATGAAAAATAGCCATGGGCCCAAACACGGGCATTGTCTTTTATCATGGACATCTAAAATTTGTGGGGATTTCAGGTACTCTGCTACATGTATCTACCGAGAGCTGGTTGCTCAAAAAAAGGACAGGACATGCACATCAAGAACCATCTCCTTTGATTTTAATGGGGCTTCTTCCTTGTGTAAGGCAAACAGGATTTGTCCTGGAATATGCAAACACATGCAGATATTGGGCCTGATTTTCACACAATTTAGCACCTGCAATTGGGACTAGATTTTCAAAAGGGCTCAGGTCTCAGTTAGGCACCAAAGTAGGTGGCCACATTTTCAGAAGTCCTTGACCATAGGGATTGCAATAGAAGCTGGTGGTGCAGAGCACTTTTGAAAATCTGACCCAAGTTGTGGCTGCTGCGCACTTGAAAATTTGGTTTTTAAGGGTCTAATCTTGCAGTTGCTACTCATCTGAGTCATATTTAGTAATAGTAAGGACTACTCATATGAGTAAGGATCATAAGAGCCAGCCCTTTAGTTTCACAACGCAAGACTCACATGTTTAGCTAAAGTTACCTTGTGGAGAAGAGAATCTGTGATGTGATATTGTAGATTACTGTTTGCAAAAGAGAATCAGCACTGGTGTATAGGCTGGAGACAAAGTATGAGAGAGGATAGATTGTTGTTTGAATGAGGTCAATAATGAGGAATAATAACTGTAAGACCTCTTTAGATTTGCAGAGCAAAGCCAAAGAAAAGATTTGCATCCCCAGGAATTTTTGTTGCACATCCAGCTAGACATGGCTGTCAAAGAGTTTTCATTTAGATTCAGGAAGGGAGGTGCTGGCTGCAATAGTTGGCAGGAGAAGAAGGAAGGGAGTGGGTCTGAAAATATACAGTCACTTCAACAAATATCTAATTCTCTTCTTCATGTATCATGTTAGCAGTTGTTGGAATGTGAACGAGTAGTAGCAGCTCAGCAGACAGAGAGCAGCAGGCTATGTAGATATGATAGTGCACTTGGGACAGTTGGTGTGAGTGTCCACTTTCTTTTCCTCTGCCTCATGCATACAAAGAGAAGGGGTGAAGTCCTGGCCCCATACTAGAAATAATGAACAATAACAATACACCCCAGGACTTTGTGATGGGGTGTCTATACCAAACAAGGCCTGAGGTAAGAAGGGCCAGTTAACCCTGTGTTAGGTGGCACCCGGAGGAGAGCCAGGACCTGATAAAGGCTAATTGATGAAGTCTAGCTGGGCAGAGCCAGACTGAATATAAAGCCAATAAGGTGACAGCAGGAAGGGATTACTGGGAAAAACTCTACAGTCACTCCCTAGTGAAGTGGCTATATATAAGGAAGAAGTCTAGGGGGGTGACTAGCCCCTATGATCCTGTCTCAGATACTGACTGTGGCAAGAACCTGAGAGGGATGAAGTAGCCACAAGTTACAGAGGAAGTTCCAATGGTAACCCAGAGGTGGGCCAGGAGATAGGGAGGAATCAGCAACAGGGTCTGATGTTTGGTAGACTATGGTTGTTAGGGCATAGGGCCCCTATGCTGGAACTTGTAGTGAGTGGGCCTGGGTTCCCCTACTGACCACTGGGACAGTGGCACAGACTGCTATGGCTCAGAAGACAGCCTGACTTAGTCTCTCAGGACTAACTTAAGTTTTTTTCCTTCTGGGGTATCATAGTGACCTGGTCTGGAGAGCTAAACCATGAAGAGGGAGCAACCAAGTCCAGAGAGAGACACCAAGGAGTGAGCAACCAAAGGAGGGGGCAGCAGACTGCTGAAGAGCTAATCCCCAGATGTGCCACAAAGCAGTGCCCCTAATGGTGAGTGACTTGTTCTAATACAACTTTATTCTACAATTGCTATATTTTAATAGGTTCTCCTGTAGCGACTCTCACTTTTCTGTGAAGTCTTAAAATGTTACGTTACTTATTCATGCTTTAGAATAGAGGCTACATATTTTAAAGTGGTGTCCTGTCATCATCATTTCAGGTGCAAGAACTGTAAAGCTGAATTATTATGGCACCAAATATTGTTTATATATGTACAGATATGCATGCTCAATGTTGATGGCTAAGCCTTCGTACCTCACTTCTTTTACATTTTTCTTTTCCTTTCTACTCTTATGTGAACAGAAGCCTGTTTTATTTAAGCCCCTCTCTCTCTCATGTGTATATATATAGTGGTGATGGCTAAAATGACTGTAAACTTTATTCAGGAATGCATCCTCTTGCTGAGGATCAAGAAGGGTCTGGCCCAATGACAGAAGGACAATCATAGTGTTGCCTCTTCTTGATCCTAGTGGCGAGTCTAAGTTTGGGGATCTGGGGTTTTGCCAGTTGGAAGCAGAAATTGATGGAGTCTGGTATTCAATGATGCAATCTTGTTTATTTACAAGGGTGGACAAAGTCCATCTTCTCCAAATGCAAGAGGAACCAAAAACAAAAGGAGCAGTTTCTTAGCTTACAAGCTCAAGCCTCTTTAGCCAGCAGACTCCGAGGCATGTTCCCTAGCAGTCACGCTGTGCTCACAGGCTATTGGCTGCCTTTTTTGCTTTTGCCTCTCTATTCATTCTTCTCTATGTGATGGGTTTAGCCACAGAGACCCCCTTGGGACTGTCACCTGATGTGCTCAGATTACCTCTGAGCCTGTTTTCCCTGCCAGCTTGGGACTCCAGAACCCTGCCTTGTTGAGCAAGATACACTAGCCTGCTGCAACACAGACCCAGGGTCTGAACCATGCCCCCAAAGCTGCAGACTTTAACCAAAAACTGCTCAGTGGTTCACCTGCCTCCAACACCCAGACACCAGCTCCCAGTGGGATCCAAACCCCAAATAATAAAATAAATCCATTTTACTCTGTATAAAGCTTATACAGGGTAAACTCTTAAATTGTCCA